AGCAATAATTTTGTCAATCTACATCTTCAATATTTTCTTTAAATACGACAAAATATTCTTTATATAGTAATCATTTTTTACACGTGAAAGTATCCATTTCCATTTTGTTTATGTTTCGCAAACAACTGAAATTTCCTGAAATTGTATTGTTCCTTCGTGCAAGATTTTTGATGGACAAAATTATTGTTTCACCTTGTACGGTAGCTTTAAGAAATGATGTCTAAAATTTTGAATAAAGTGTGCATCGATGATAAAGGTAATTAATACGTAATGAGTAATAAGTAGCTGTGGAAGACAATTTTTTTCACGTGATATTTCAAGGAAAAGTCACACTTCGTAGCAATGTTTTCCTTAAATTTTCTCACGCACTAAATTCAGTATTTTCACTGATATGTGAATTTCTTGAAAATACTCACTAAGTTAGTGACGAGCAGTTTGTACTATAAATTATGAACTTTTTACTATTGATTTTCATTCTTTTATTAGTGATTTTGCAATAGTAAAATGGAATTTTTTAAGGTTTTCACTATTCTAGATCGATTCAAGATCTTCGTTGTAGTTATATTCGAAGAAGTAAACAGCGTTCGTAACATTTTCCATAAAAGTATGTATTTTGTTTATTAGAAATATTTTTTTAATGGCAAAATATTTTTGTGGAAAAGTGTCATTGAGTTACTATTAACGAATTATGTATTTCAAACGCATAATGTTGCTCAAAAATTAAATTTGCTATTATAACAATTTTGCAATTATAAAACAAACATTTACTACAGAGGAGAAAATTGTACATTTTATAGTTTTGAATGCATGCATCTTCAACAAACAGAACCCTAATCCAAGTCAATTTCTCGTTCCTTAATTATTTCAACGAGCAACTTGAATGAAACAAAAACAGATAGAAAAAAATATACAAAAATAAAATAAAAATTCAATTTTGCTCATTGAGGGAAATAACTGTTTTCTGTCTATTCAAAAATCGTCGAATCGAGTCATTCGAACGGTCGATATTTTATTTTTAAAGAAAATAATGCAAAAAAATTTGATTCTTGGAAAAACGAGCTTAAATGTCCAATTTCACGAATTGCAAAACAATATTTTAGAATTTAACGCTAAAGCTGAAATTATTAGAGAAAAATTTGTCAACTTTTTCGAACCATCAAACCTCGCAAGAATATACTATATAGATTGAATTTCATTCATGATAGCATTAACCCTTTGCACTCGGAGATCATTTTGCTATAGGAAAGGTTGCAAATCGGATCTTCTTTGAAAATTTTTCAAACTAATGTATAAACTATACTATTTTACTTCAATATTCGATGTATTTTCTATTTTACTCTGGTGAAGAAATTTATGGAGACCCATAGATCTGCTCTCTGTCTTGATTAATTATTTATCATGTGACGATTATTTAACGTCGCTTCTCAGTCGCCACTTGATTGCAAAGGGTTAATATGATTTCTTTCGATCATAGAAGGGTTAATGCCTATTCTCAAACTTCCATTTCTTATTTAACCCTTTCGCTGTTCGGTAAAACAAGGAAACACAAAAATTTTCAACTTTTTCACGATTTAATTCAGTCACATTAGTAATAAAAACAAGGAAAAATATGTATGTTGTACATGTATTTCTACGTTACCTGTCGAAATATTTTCATATTCAGATTATAGTAACTTCCCCTTTTTAAAACTTTGCTGGTTTGTAGGGGACGTCGATAAAAGTATCACGTAATTTCTTTTCTTTTGCTACTTTTTGGTCCTTCAGGGTGAAAACACCCCTTAACGGTTAATGTCTGTTTTCCAATTTTCCTGCATATCTTGAAAACTATAGTAAGCAGATACAAAGGAATAGAAGAAAAATTTAATGCATATTTTTATACTTGACAAAGAGATACAAATTTTTTAAACTAAAGATAGTAAATAATATTTTTCATTACACAATTTTATAGAGCACAAGAAAGGAAATTCTTTTATATTTACCATGATTTTCAAGATACACGGGAAAATGGGAAAACACATAATAACCTTTAAGGTGTGTTTTCACACTAAAGAGGCAAAAAGTACCCCCCCAAAAAAATTGCATTATACTTCTATCGAGGCCATCTACAAATTTACAAAGTTTCAAAAAATTGGAATTTCCCGCATGTCGTAATTTTGAACGTCACGACTAATTACGTCATATAGAAGGCTGAACAGCGAAAGGGTTAATTTCACGCACGACATCCAATCCGAGTACAACATTCCAGCACGAGCAGCATGAAAACTAACTGGTGATCCCGTGATGTACGTCATTAATAAAGGTGTTCTTCTCTACACTTTCTGTTTAAGATTAACTAATCGTAATTAATCGCGGCGTAATTAAACCGTACAGGACGACTCCATGATCGTACCGCCGGATCCTTGGATTGTGGTATCGATATCGAAAAGCACGTCAAGCGTTTACGAGGAAGATATTAGTAGAAGATCGAGCATTTTGTTACCTCCGCCCCTGAAACTGACCGACTTGAAAGTGAACCTCAGCCCTACCAGCAGCGATCTAGCCAGCGAATGAAATTTCCTTTATTTTATTCTTTGAACCTAACAGGACACTTCAACGAGAACATTTTCTTGCAATTTTTCTCGAGAAAAGGATAAATATCGGCAATGATTCTTCTTGGAAATTTTTTCGAAAATATTTGACGAAAATCTGTCGGCAAGTTTCTTAAAGCTTGCTTCGATTTTTAGCGAAAGTTCATCCACTGGGTGGCCATGTTGCACGGACGTAAGCCACGTCTATATATGTTTTCTGAACGATTAATAGCCGAGAAGTCATCCCCACTACTTCTCAAAGTGGCTTGAATTTTATTAGAAGAAAATCGATGGTAAATGGATTAGTGTTTTATTATTTAGACGAGTGAAGTTAAATTTGTGTGTCTTTTGCTTTAGTATTGTGAGAATTATTGAAGTTCTGGAAATGGAGATATGCACAAGTGTATTTAGCCGATTTTGCGTTATAGGAATAATTGTACGACGAACTGGTAACGAAAATAATTCTGACACTCTATTTATATTTTTAACATACGCTACTGGCCAAAAGTGTGAAACCACTTACCAATTTATAGGAATAATGCAGAAATTAACCTTATCTTATGAATTTATTTTAATTTTATTAACTACAATTTTAAACCTTAAAAAAAAAATTGTAGTATAAATTTTTTAATATTTTGTATTATTT